AGCTTAGCTATTAGTATGCCCGGCTCTTTTATTGTAAACTTTTGTTAGGGCCACTAACCTACTTCCTACGGACAAAAAAATATTTCTAAAATAAATAAATTAAAAAAAGTGCATTTTCAAAGCACTTTTGCAATAAATCTTATTTTCAAAATTTATAAACCCCAACTTTAAAAAAAAAAAAAAGCATAAGAGGTAAAAAAAACAAAAGTACAACCTCCTTGCATAGAAGACAAGTTTAACATGCTTAGTCATCTACTTTATTAAAGCCGAAGTCGGACTGAGCTCAGGTACCGACATCGGACCGCCAGCGTTTTTGTCCATACGGAATCGCGTCGGACCACTATCGGCTAGCTGATGGTTTAAGCGGACAGCTGATGTTGGGCCGCGCTCGGGTACTGACATCGGAGCAACATCGTTTTAGTTTAGATTTTTGTGCACTGATTTTTGTCACTCAGCGTAGCATCTAAAAAATAGTACAAAATTTAATTTTTATACTTAAAAGTACATATTAAAGTACAAATTTAAGTTTCACATACCAATAACTGCAATATAATATAAAGCACAGTGTAGTAAAGTTACTGATAACACAACTTGTCATTGAGAGCGAAGTTAATGTTATTGATGGTGAATTAGCTTGTAGAAGCAAGATGTAAATATATAGTCTGACAGGACGGCTCACCGTTAGAAGTAAATACACTTCCAGCAGGGAACCAAGTTTCCACTTTTGTTTTCAGAAGACAAAGAAACTATAGTTTCTTCGTTTTCTGAAACTTACTTTTTAAGTTAAAAAAAAGTGGAAATTTGGTTGGTGCAAACCAAATGCTGATCTAGCTAAGCAGACCATGCGGAAAAAACAGCGTAGTCACATTTAGTATTGAGAAAGTCTTTATAGATCACAAAAAAATATTTTTAAATAAAAAGAAGTATACAAAAAATTTAAAATAAATAAGTTTTATTTATTTACTTAAAGTTTACTTTAAAAAAAGTGTTGGTAAAAAAGAGCGTTTTTAATTTTAGTTTTTGTATCCTTTGTTTTACTTAAAAACTTTTTTAAATGATCAATAAATTCTATATGCATATATGTATATATATTAGATATTACTAAATAAATAAAACATTTCTTGAGCATTTTGGATTAGGATGTGCACCATTTATATCTTGGTCTTGTAGCAATTGTTAGATTCAACAGCCCGAACAAAAATTATATATATATATATATATATATATATATATATATATATATATATATATATATATATATATATATATATATATAGATATATATATATATATATATATATATATATATATATATATATATATATATATATATTTAAATGATTTGTTATTGCTTTTATATCAAAAAATTGACAGATTTGTATTGTTTTGTTTTTAACCTAACCTATTTGTAATGCTTGTATTTTTGTTTATGTTGAATAGCTATATAATTATTGTCGTAATTTTTATAATCTACTATTTTAAAGAACAATTAATATTATCACTTCATTAAGAAATATTATTTTACTTAGAAATGTAAAAAAGACTGCCAATTCAGAACCTGCTCTTTTCCTATCAAGAACTTTTAGATGCCATTTTTAAAGTTGAAAGGAAGTTGTGCTATCATAAAGTATTGAATTATTTTAAGTAATATTTGTAAAGTAATTACATAAAGTTTAGAAGTTATAGAGTTATTCTATAACTTAAGAAAGCACGACTTCCTTTTAATTTAAAAATGGCATCTAAGTGTTCTTAGTAGGCATCATAATATGATAGTATAATATCATAAAATGAAAACCAATCGAAAAAAGGTGGCAGAATGTTTGCTGAATGTCTATTGGCCGACAAACAATGATTTTTTGGCAAACAGATATTCAGCAGACGCTCAACCGATCTTGTTGAGTTGGAAATAACCCAGCCGATGTCTAAACGATATTACAACGTGGACCCGAGCTCGGTGAGACATCGGTTTTAACACAGAGTTGGGATTACAAAAATGCAGTAACGATAAAGTAAAATTAAAATAAGTCTGAAAGAGAATATAAAATCAAAAAAACAATGATTCAAGAATGTGGAGTTCTCTAATCTGTACTGAAAACAATTTCAACAAGTATGTTTATTAAATTTATTCAAATTCTGGACGTTTCAGAGCTTTAGCTAGTCTGGAAGGTAGTAAAAAATAAATCGCAAGATTCCGGGACAACCAAAATCTAGAGCCAACTAGCAACTTGTGAAGTCAAACTGTTGTTTGAAAAAAAATTTCAAGTTCATTTAAAACATTATTTTATTTGAATAAGACTTTTTTTTTCTTTCTATCTTTGTGCGGGTTGGACATCAATGCAACAAAAAAGAGATTTTTAGGGTGCCCAAAACCGATGGTATCTTTTTTCAAATAAATTGAATATGATAAAACGCAAAAAAAAAGTTATACCTGATACACACGCCTTGAATCATATAAATTTTATCAGATAGTTAAATCGACTTTTAATTTTTTTGAAAATTG